CAGGAAGATATTAAAGAAAATGAAATTGATCGTTTAGTCTTAGAATCCGATGCTCCGTACATTCATTACAAAGAAAACCATATTTCCAAATCCATATGTTATTAACTTTGTTGCAGAGGAGATTTCCAAACTGTTAACAATACCGATTGAACATGTCTTTAAAACCACATTGTCCCAAAAAAATATATGGGAAGAGAGATTAGGGATCAGGAATTGACTTTTTATTATGTTGTATATATGTGTATATAGTTATATAAAACTGTTTATATTTATTATGTTTCCAGAGTAATTTCGTATATATTTTTAAAAGAAATTTCTTGTTGTAATGAAATTCACCGGGAGTCTTTCTGGCTTTCTTTAGTCCAGGAATTTATATGGAACTGGATTCAATGACTATGGATGTCTCTATTGAGTCCATTGACTCGAGATATATTTGCCGTGGAGTCTGATGTATATATTGTAAAAATGTTGAGTTGAAGTTAAATTATTTGGTAGAATAGTATTTTAACCACTGGTGGAGTTTCAACAGTATTATTTTGTCTACTGAAACGCTCATCCCATAATATGCAGATACCATAATATGTAGATGTCAACTAAGAAATTTCAGACAGGAATTCAGCAAATCAAGAGCATGGAGTCTTTCCAAAGAAAATGAAGTGGAGTGTGGTAAATTCCAATACCTAGGTGCTCAAATTATGTAGGAACATACTACATAAGATTGCGCATGCACCGGAAACAGCACTTATGATGATATAGTTCCAACAAGAAAGACGTGCCTACCTGGTGTTCTCTTGGTACTCTGAAGACTACGAAGTCAAGGTATAAACAGACAGTTATAGGTAAGTTAGTCATGAGTATATACGCCACATCAATTATAAGAGGAAAACAACGGAACAACAGAAACACTGAAGTGCAACAAAAACAAACCGCAAACATACATAGAAACGAACTACTTGATACCAACTACCATATTCCTGACTTGGTACAGGACATTTCAAGACAAAATGGTGGGTTTAACCTGGTTTTACGGCTAGTCAAACCTCCCGCTTATATGGCAATGATAAAAAATATCGCTAAAAGACAACACTACGAGACAGAAATACACCACAAACAAACGCAAGAACACTCAGCACAGAGAAACGCACAAGTAAATATTATAATAGTCGTTACAACATGTAAAAGTCAGAATAACAACGAACATCTTCCATTAACGACAGCACAGGACATAACAAACAGTGACGTATTATTGTAACGAATATATAATCTTGAAATTCATACAATTATTTTCACAATACTAGTCAAAACAATTGTCATGACTATGACGGTATTGAAAGGCTATTTTAAATAAATGCTGTGACGACGTCATAATTATTTGGACTAACACAATACTTTATCCATGGAAAATGGAAATTAACTAGACTATACTGACAAATAAGACATATGTGAAATGTACCGAAAATACTGAATTCAAACACAAACGATAAGACATAGCACAATATCGAACCGAACAGAAACATCATAAATAAATACATGAATGTTGGATGTATAAATACCGAGACACGTCATATAGCAATGCAAATTCACACTCGGCAAAAACAGTCATATTCGGGAATAGGTCACGTTCAGTACTTAGAAAACAGACGACTTAAATGTTAAACCACAAACTAAGACGTGGTACTTAGAAAACAGACGACTTAAATGTTAAACAACAATCTAAGACGTGGTAAAAATGTCATTAGTTAGTTAAGACATAGATCAACCAATTCGTGATGGTGTCCTTAAAATTTACGGAGTGTCATTTTTAATCTTTCCTCTCATAACTCTGTTGGAGCATAACGTATCAATTGAGATATGTAAACACCAAACGACGGAGCAGAGGGTATGTTACTGCCGAGAAATGGGAAATTGATAATCGGGAAGATGAAATCATCCGGTTTGTCATAGATTTTAGTGTGAAGTCGTCCATCTGTATCAATACTGAGGAAAAGATCAAGGTATGAAGCAGTCCTTCTAGTATCGGTAGTATCCTTAATTTCAAGTTCACTGGGATATATGAGATGCAAGTACCGACTGAACTATGGGTTATTCAGTGATAGGACATCATCAATATATCTTAAAGTAAAATTAAAGAATTTTGCAAGGTGCTTTTTCTTTTTGTCTTTTAAAAGGTTCTGAATGAATTCTTCTTCATACGAGTACAAAAACAATTCGGCCAAAAGGGACTTGAAACAATGTTTTTGTTTGTTTATAAATATACTTCGGTGAGCTATACGGCCATGAAATGATAGTAAATCCGCTATTTTAAAATGGCGAAATGACGCAAAATCTTGTCAAGTTCGGGAATAATTCAGTCTTCAAAAAAAAATATGTAAACAGTTTCTTACAATTAACCCGTTTTCGCTACATCCTGACAACAAATCATCAACCAAACCAGCCATGTTCTACTGCAGTCTGAAAGGTGACAGTAATGTGGTGACAACAATATCTGTTTCAAGTACATGAAATGTAATTGTACATTTTCTTTATTGTAGGAGATGCTTTTCAAAAAGATAAGCTTTCTGAAAATGCACATGCAAGCCACAACCATTGGATGAATCTGATACCTTCAATTAGACAGAGGTGTGCTACTCCCGTTTGTGTGAGGACGGAAGAACGAAAGATTTTTGAAAACGTTCTTGCAAAAAGCAACAAATGAAAGAATCTATTGTCTTCAATCAGGAAGAGGTGTTTTCCTCCCTCTTTTCACATTGGAAAAAAGAAACATTACTCATAAAGATGAGTTGATTGATCTATCATATTCAATTATGACGAAAATAAAAGTAAGGGACGCCAAATAAAAAGACATTTTTATTTCTATTACAGTTTTTATCAACTTTTAAGTGAATTGTTGCCTACCTGATAAAGGTTATTCCAGGAAAACAGGTCGAGGGCACGTACATGGTATTGGTTTTGCATTATAGAAAAAAAATCTCTAGATGACTGATGTATTTTGGTTATTTTATTCATTAGGCTGATTTATAGATGACATTTACCTCACATCACCTTTTAAGAGTTCTTGAACAAATACTTAAGATGGTTTTGTGGTTTTGATCTTGTCTTCTTTCTAATGCATAAGATAAAAACTTCATTTGTAACTGTTCAATAAAATAATACAATTCGTCTGGAATGTTTATTTGTAATAGTAATAAGATACTGGTTTGACATGAATGTCCCAACTGCACCAATTATAATGTGGTCAAATGCCCTAGTAAACTTTTTTCTGTAACCTTTTTTCTTTTCATTTTTTTTTATAACAGAAAAACCACCTAATCAAAATTACACCTTAAATAAACATCATATACCAGGATTGAAATTTTGTATTTGCACCAGACGCAAAGCTTTTGATATGTCAATTTTTCCTAATCATTTTACGAGATTTGAACATTATTAAACTACTGTTGCCTTAATCAAATTGTTTTGGGGATTGTCTCCATTTAAGGTCTAGGGTTAGCTAGTTCAGTGACAGTATACATCTGTTAAATTCATTCTAAAAACCAGATCAATATCTGCCAGTACATTTGAAAAGGTCTTACAGTTGTTATATTACATAAAGATTGATTGATTGCTGGTGTTTAATGCCACTTTTAGCACTATTGGCTATATTGTGGTGGTCACTTTTTTTGGTGGGGAATTGATTGAATGACAGGCAAGGTTAACACGATATAAATAGGTTCAATATTATATCCAAATATTCATATCAGCATGCATATATTTTCCAAGAAATAAAACACTAACAAAGACACAAATGTACAGATTGCTTATTCATTCAATACATAATATATTTCATAGACTACAAGTCTACCCTTATATATTAATATACATGCTGTTAATCGGATGAAGATTGGTCTTTAACAGTTTTGAGTTTTATGATATTCATGATTTAAAAAAAGAGATATGATTATTCTAATACATGTAATGCAAATAAATTGTCAAATCAGTTTTGTACATTTCATAGCTGGTCACATAAATCTTCCATTTCCATCATGAACATTCTCCATAATCTAATCAAAGCATCGTCGATGTTGTGATCCAGCCATATTTATAGCTAGTCTGATATTCTTTCTGCCCATACTTTTTTCAATATTTTTTTTCTCTTTTTATTTCCAATCTTATTGTAAAATTTCTATGTTATTGTCCAAAGGTAGGGAATTTCGCAATATTAATGCAAATATTGATATATATATATTGATATTTCAATTTTAGACTCTGTCAGATTTTTTTTTTAAATATTTGCAATTTAATGGAATTGACAAGAATGGAAAGGGAAATCGTCAAACAAGTAATATATTCTTTTATATGCCATTATTAATTATAATTGGCTTATTAATTTCCAGAAAGAGGCATTGGAAATGCACTTTCTCAACAACAAAAATTATTTTTTTTTTATCTAAATTGGTGTTCATTCTTCATTAAGAAAAAATACATTTCATGTATTCAAATTTAAATGTACAAATACCTAATGCTGATATATTTCCAATTACTGTTAAACCACGTCTGATTAATCATTCAGCTAGCTAGCAATATTAACAGAATATTTTAATGTAGTGTAGATCAAAATAAATAATACATTTGTAGGTTTACTATTGAGATCAAGAATGTTTGTATTCAGTTAGGTGTATTTAATTATGTAACAAATCATGAGATATTAACTGTGGTGAATTAAGACTGGGTTTGTTTCCAATTAATACACCTTTGAGTGTGATTATTTGAAAATCATGACAGTTGATAATCATCCTGACTCTTATTTAACTATGGAAAGAATTTGAGTAATACCATTTCAAAAAAGTGTGGGAATCAACTTAAATATATTAATACACATGTTGATTCAAATTTCATTGAACAATAATTTACACAAGCATAAGATACTAATATAATACTTTCAAAATTCTTATCAACTGATTCAATTGATGTACAATACTTTTTCAAATTAATTCATAAATAGTAAATCATTAAAAATTTTGATTTACAAGGGAACTATATGCAAGTGTGTATCTAAAATAAAAGGGTTGTTCGACCAATCTTTTCTAAATTTAAGGGCAAATAACATGTCAAAAGTTGGCAGTTGATGATTAAAATGGTGTAGAAAGTTTCTGCAAGTCATAAAGACACATTGTAAGTTTCATGATATGTCTTTAACTTGGTATTCTGCACCATCTCCAAAACCAGAGTGATCGCATAGATCCAGCATGGCTGAATCAAAAATGAGTACTTGAACTCTTCATGAACAGTCCTTGAACTATAGTGAAGGAAAGTCTAAGTTCTAGAACAATTCATGAACTCATTTTAGGATTTTGAAAAATGTCGGTCTACTGAACACCATAGCAAAAACATGTTGCTAATCTTCTACGACATTTGATCTCTGGTGGAGAGTTGTCTCATCATACCACATCTATTAATTTTCATATTGACAGACCAAATTCAATCATGTATATTACAGGAAATGGTACTTCTTTGGTGAAAGGTCGTATATGAGCTACATATATTTTATGAAACCTTAAATGTGACGATCTAATTGTAGTGTTTAAAAAATTAGCTAACATTGACACACTTATGGAAAACATGATCACACATTGCTTGATTCTTTGATATTTTTGTTAATAGGTGAAAGTCTTAACTACATATTTGACAGGCATGTGGTCTTTTGTATCAGCAATGAGGGAAACAAAAAGATATGACCATAGAAGTACTGTAAACTGGTCAGGAGAAAATGCAAATAGATTTTTTTACATTTCACATTGATTGCTTGATATTTTACATGATATATCTATTCATTAAACCATGAATTTATAGTGAATATCAATAGAATATTTGTTTTCTGCATATCAAGGAACACTTATTTATAAACTGTGCCTTTATGAAATAGTTGCATTTAGTTGTTCCTAGAATCAATATGTTTCCATTTGCCTTTTCAAACCTTCTAAAGTTAAAAATTGTTTCTGTTGTAATAAACATATGATAATTTTACCAAAAATGAGTTTAAGGAGTTTAAATATAATATTATTTCATCAATTTAAAACCTTGATGTATCAAAACTGTAGTGTGATTTCAACATCATAGTTTTTATTTGTCTTTCTTATAAAAATATATAAAAACTCACAAAATGACATTAAATATTCAACAATACAATATAAATCACAAATATAAATGATATGTTCATATCAAAACTGTTTAAATATAATAAATCTGATTAAATGCCCCATTACAACAGACACAAATATTTTCTAAATCACTAAATATGAATCTGTCTGCTCACAATTTACAATATAGCCATTAGAACAGGGTAATTAAGGAAAAACAAGTGAAACTGTGAGCTACTGGTCACTGATGATACCCCCCCCCCCTCCCCCTCCCCCAACAAGTGGATAATTTTAATAGTGTAAAAATATGTAGGTGTTCGGTAAACAGGAAGTTGTTGAGTGATGAATCTGAAAACACATCACACGGTATAGCTGACTTATATAAACCCTGAAACCAAATTTCAGAAATCCGTATGATGTAGTTCCTGAGAAAGATGCGACGAAAAATATTCATTGAACGGACTGACGGATGGACAGACAGACGGACAGACGGACGGATGGAAGGACAGACAGAAGTAAAACAGTATACCCCCACTTTTTTAAAGCAGGGGTATAAAAAACAATATGCCAAACACAACATTCTGGTGCACAATTTTGATTGATTGATTGATTGATTGGTGTTTGATTCCACTTTCAGCACTAATGGCCATTTCATGGTGGTCAGTTTTTATTGGTGAAGGAAGCCTGAGTGCTTGCACACTTTTGAAAATGTTACCCAGAATGCTTAGATTTTGAAATGGTATATATCATGGTCTCTGTAATGATATAATTTTAGCAAGAATAATAGACTAAACCAATATTTTTGATAGTTCATAGGAAGTAGGATAAACAAAAAGTCCTCTGACAGCCTATAATTTTCTTGCTCTGTTTGCTAAATAATTTTCATAAAGAAAGAAACAATGCATTAGCATTAATCGTGAATGTTGGAACAAATGATTCAAGATAAAAAATATTTTAATTTGTTACTTTGCTGGCATTTTATATAAATTTTGAGCAAAACAGTCTACAGAATTTAAAAAAATATGTCAAATGATTTCAGTAATGCTCAATTTTTTTTGTCATGGTTTTTCAAAAGTGATACACAAACAATTATGTATTATTGTAAGTAAATCAGCTCAAAATTAGAAATCCTTATCTTTGTAAAAGGTTCCCTGAGACAATATCTGAGCTATAAAAATACAATAGTTTACAATATAACACATAAAATAAATACAAAAGTACAAATCAGCATACAATATAAAAATATCAATCACATAGATTTGTATCATGAATTGAAAGTTGAAATTAGTCATCCTGAGCTTATTATCTAATACATGAAATAATAGTTATGGAAAACATGATAAGAGATGCTACATTATTTTGTATTTAAATACCCCTTCATTTGATTTAACAAATATCTTTGTAAAAATTTATTTAAGAACAAAGAAACAACTAAAACTGTCAGCAGGGCAGGACAAATACCTTACTTTCACTTTCTGTTAGCTCCAAATATATGATTCCTAGTTTTACAGTAATGATATGCATGTTAATGCAGATTTCTAATCTAATCTATTCATCAATAATTAATAGTATACAAAATTTCTAAGTGCAAAGGAGTGAAATCAGAACAGACCAAAAGACTCTATTTATATGCACATCTTCATGTTAGGATCTTACAATGTACAAAGATTTTCATAAATATCTGGTGAAGTATGTAGATGGGGTAGCATCCACATAGTGTATACTTGTTACTTTGGTGGCATTTTTATGTAAATTTGGAGCAAAACAGTCTACAGGATTTAAAAAAAATATGGCAAATAATTTCAGTAATGCTCATTTTGTTTTGTCATGGTTTTTCAAAAGTGATATACAGACAATTGTGTATTATTGTAAGTAAATCTGCTCTAAATTAGAAATCCTTATCTTTTGTAAAAGGTTCCCTGGGACAATATCTGAGCTATAAAAATACAATAGTTTACAATATAACATATAAAATAAATACAAAATGATATGCATGTTAATGTATACTGATAATTATTGAAATTTCAAAGTGCAAAGGGATATAACTCTGGGATTTGTCAACCTACCAGGATGCCCTATTATTATGCAAATATTCATGTTAGGATGTACAAAGTATCATGATCATCTAATGAAGTATGTAGGAAAGCTGCATCCACAAATTGCATACTCAATAGAATAAAAAAAAAATATAAATATAAAGGGGCATAACTCTAGGATTTGTTAACCTATCAGGATGCACAACTTAAATGCACATTTTCATGTTAGGATCTTACAATGTACAAAGTTTCATGAACATTTGATAGATGGACAGAAGGAAAGACAGGATCCTATATATTTATCCTCCAAAATTTAGTGTCCTTACTTAAAAGTAAGTTTAACCTATAATATGGTAGTCCATTTCCTTATTATACAAAGTAAAAAAGAATTTAACCAGATTTCATAAATTGGGTTAAATTAATGTTGACCCTTTATAATAACTTCACAAACATAAATCATATATTTTTCTAAATAAAGGGCCCCTATAATATAAACTTATAAGAAAGAAATTTTATCGCTCAAAATGAACAATATCATTAAAATGTTCACAGCAACTACCTGAAGTGCAAATAAATTATATTTTGAAAATTCATATCAACAGAATACATTCAATATGAAGAAAAGAAAAACATGTCTTTTATGTATAATTATGATATATAAAAGTATGTTGTAAATACAAAACATATAAGTCTTAAAACATAGCTTGTTATGTGACTCACAAAACATGAATTTACATACAGATTTAAATTTTTATAACCAATCATCTGATTTCATAGCTCTTATCTTAACAAATACATAACATATCAATGATACTTATATTTACATAGCACTTTTGATTTGCTGATTACGAATTTTACTATTGTGACAAAAATGCTACATGACAATAAACGTATTCACACTTTTGATATTTAGCTGAATTTTGTCTCCGAATGACCTTAGATTTGTCTCCTAATAACCTTCTGACGTCAAGCGACATCTAATTTTTTAAATTGGGATGTTAAATTTTACGGGAACTTTTGTGATTTTAAGTAATGACGGACAAATTTGCATACAAGTGTAAATATGTCTGTTACAAGTAAAAACGAACTTTAATGCTATAAATGTACATACTTATACTTATAAATTTCAAAATCAATGGTCCCACAATAAAATATATTTAAATTGCTGGTAGCTCACTCTAATTTGATAAACAATGCCCTTACATGTGTCATTTCTAATTTTTGCCATGCTAAATTATATTAAAGAGGCATAATGATATTATAAGATAAAGACTCCATATCTTGGGCTGCTTTTAAAAATATTAACAGTTACTTTAAAAAGATGTTTTATATCACTTGAGTTTATTGAAAGTTATTTGTTTTAATCTCAAATTATTGATGTTATTGCTATTCCAAATGTTTATGCCCTCCACGGCCATTAATTGGAATAAAATATTCTTTTTCTTCTTTATGTGTAGTACAAATGTGAAAAAGAATATGGACAGACCTGCCAACTTTCACGGTTTATGGGGTAGGTATGTCTTACCTACCTCATAATGATGTATGAATAAGAATGATGCAATTCCAAAACCATTACTAGTGATCTCTATGTGTTGACACTGCCATGCAAGCATTACATTCTAATCTTTTTAAAACAAAACACATTTCTTTTTGCAAGAACAAGTAAAATTTAAATAACAACACTCACAACAGTAGATGATAAAAACTAAATTGCACAAATCATATGTTGAGCACCATTCCATTTGATTTATTTTGCTGAAAGATTACAAAGGTGTAATCAATGACAAGAAGATTCCTATCTGCATAGTATCAATTGAAAGTAGAACATGCCATTCTGCAAGAGGACGATAAAATATTTGAATGCCAATCAAAGAATCACAATCTAAATTGCAAGATTTCATTCTCGATGATATGATTCCATAGCAGAAACTTCTTTCTAATTGTTTTTTTTCAATCTTTACTTTTATAAAAACTTAAATGAAGATCTGCAAACTTCACATTCCCTGTAATAAAACAAAAAATACATGAAAATCACACTTGACTTAGACAATCTACCATTGCTTTCACATGTCTGAATAAGGACAATAGGTGGAGCAAAATGGTTGTTCAGTATAATTTGTAATGTCTGTACCAAGTCAGGAATATACGACAGTTGTTTTCCATTCTTTTTGTGTGTTTGAGCTTTTGATTCTGCAATTTGCTAAGAGACTTTCCATTAAGAATTATCCTTAGAGATGGTATTTTTTTTTTATTTTACTATTTGATAAAGAGCTTTAAACTGTCATTTAACAGATAATTTGTCAGTATGAAGCTACATTCAAAAACATATTCTATGGACAGAAAGGCAATGAGCCTAATCTTTTTTCTTAATAGATTAGTAGACAGATCAATGGTACTTTTATACTGTTTAATCAACACAAGTTTCAATGAAGTTGTGTTGTCATAATTGTTGTCAGTAGAATGACACTTTTTCTAATTTTGTCTTTCTTGAAATAAAGTAGACAATGCAATCAACTATATCTTTTTCTATGCCTGCTCAATTAGCTTTGATGCAACATCATCAACAATGTCTTGTTGTATATTAGGTCAGAGGAGTGAAATTATCAGTTTTAATTTTATTTGGTAATCACAATATTTCATAGCAACAAACATAGTAATTTTTTATTATATATTTCATTTAATCTATTTGGCTTTGCTAACTTTTTGTGAATCTTTACCAAAAGGTTTAAGATACTTTGTATGTTTCTTTATTTTATAACGACAGAATTTGATTTGTCTATTGTCATATCTGTTCTAAAAATAAGTACTGTCTTCTTAAAAGTTTCAATATTCAATAAAAAAACTTCTTTAGATATTTCATTCTTTGATATTAGACACATGGTGGAATATGAAAATAAGACAACAACCCACTACACAAAAAAAGACTAAACACATCTGACTGTCAACATATATACATTCATTTTCTCTTCTCTTTTTTACCTTTAGATCAACAAAAGGCAACTGGACCTTTTTATTTGTATGAATGATACTTTACATTAAATACAACTAGTAAATAATGACATCCCCTTAAATGATCTGTTTTCTTCTGGAAAGAACCCATTAAATGTCAATGATTAAATATCAGTTTTTAAAAAGAGAAACAACCACAAAAAGAATACTTCATAAATGTAGATTTGAATTGTTTAAAATTGAGAATGAAGTGGTATGAAAGCAAATATATGAAATAAAGCAAAACTTGGACAGTTAGTTAATGACTAGACAGACTGAGTAGTACCTTAGATTATTAATGACTAGACAGACTGAGTAGTACCTTAGATTATTAATGACTAGACAGGCTGAGTAGTACCTTAGATTATTAATGACTAGACAGACTGAGTAGTACCTTAGATTATTATTGACTAGACAGACTGAGTAGTACCTTAGATTATTATTGACTAGACAGACTGAGTAGTACCTTAGATTATTAATGACTAGACAGACTGAGTAGTACCTTAGATAGTTAATGACTAGACAGGCTGAGTAGTACCTTAGATTATTTTAGACCTTTACTCCTTGAAATAAAATAAACAATAGACAAAAGTTACAGTAAATTCATTTTCCATCCCTCAAGTCTGGCCATAAAAAATTATGAAAGTAGAAAACATATTTCAAAAGTTCATTTATAAAAGTAAGTCAAACAAAATGCAAAACAACATCAGACTTGAAAAAAAAGATGTGAAAATTTACTGAATTACTACTCTTGTCCTGTGAGCACTGCTCAGAAATCATAAGAGGTACATAACATCTGGTTGAAGAATTTCATGAAGATCTAATTATGTGTGGTTGTATAAAAATAACAAGCATTCTGAGAGTATTTGCATGACAATACATAGTCCCCTACTGGTTAAAGATTCATTGTACTGGAACAAAATGCAAACTGATTTATAACTTGTCATGGTGTAAACTTTATAACAAATATCAAGTCAATATCTTCAAGCATGGTGAAAAAAATTGTGGAAAACTGAATAATTAAGTAAATTTTCTAAGTCCAAGGATCATAACTCGGCACAAAATCATCAGACCAGAACAAAATTGGAACTTGATCCTTAACTTGTCATGATAAAACTATATACCAATTATCAAATCAATATTTTTAAGCACGACAAAAAATATTTGAAAAACTGATTATTTGAGTGAATTTTCTAAGTTCAAGGACCATAACTCGGCACAAATTTATCAGACCGGAACAAAATTGGAACTTGATCTGTAACTTGTCATGATAAAACAATACACCAAATATCAAATCAATAGTGTGGAAAACTGATTTGCCAGACTGACGGATGGACAGATAGACAGATTGACCGACAGAGGGAGTGCAAACCGAGAGTCCCCTTTGACTTCGTCGGTAGGGGACTGAAAATGAGAAAAATGCAGGGTTAACATAACATGACTAAAAAAATACCTGTAAGAATTGCTGGAAGAAAAAAAATACTGATATGAAATGCTTTGCATAGACAAAATATATATTCAGACTAGCATACCTTTGACTTTCTGGGTCCTTTTAGCAACAATAAACATAATTACAGCGACCACTACTATGAATAGGATAGCACCAATTACTGCACCAGCAATCACACCTGCATTGTTTGATGATTTTTGCTCTCTTGATTTTGGTGATGATGTTTCTTAAAATAAATGCAAATAATTAAGACATTTTTAACTGATATAATCTATTCAATCTTACATTTAGAGTTTGGCTGTACTTAAAAAACTCATTACTAACGAGATATCACATCCTTATTTTACGGTGATGTTGTTTTAAGAGCCCATAAATTTAAATAAGATCCATGTAAGCTTATCTGCCCTTTGAAAAAACTTATTCTAAAAGGTAATAAATCTCATAAATCAGGCAGTTAGTTTTCTCGTGAAATGTTATATAATGTGTCATCTTGGGAACTTTTATAGCTTGCAATGCCGTATAGGTTTTGCTCATGGTTAAAGGCTGTAAGGTGACCTATAGATGCTTACTTTTATGTCATTTGGTCTATGGTGGAGAGTTGTCTCATTGGCAATCATAACACACCTCCTTATTTTACTATTAACAGAATATCAAAGTTGCTGAACGTTAATTTTTCAAAATATCTTTCTCTAAGACACAATATTGTATATGACATGTTTTGGTTGCTCTCTCTACTCAGTCAACAAACAAGTTGAACTGTGAGCTATTGCTCACTAATGATACCTCTGCTTTAAGTATTTAGTAAACAGGAAGTTGATGAAGTATGGATTTAAAAAGCATACCTACAAGAAGCTCTGATTTGTAGTATCTGAGAAAAACATGATCAAAATGGCCGTTACATGTAAGAATATATAAATAATCAGTTAACATGAAGCTTGATACCAAAGTTTATGAAGCTCTGATTTGTAGTTCCTGCAGAAAGTTTGAACCATGGGATGGATGGACACACAGACAGACAGAGGGACAGATAGACATACCAGAATGCCACCTCCTGTTGGAGCAGGGGTATAAAAAGCTTTAAACCTTGACTTAATGATGATATTTTATAATACTCTATCCGAAGAAAATTGGATAACCTATACATATTTAAGAGCAATATAACTAAAAACAACAGTTGCTGGACTTACCTGTCTTAGAAGTGCTACAGTTAACATAGGCATCAGACTCTGTCATACCATTGACATTTTTGGCTGAGACAGTGACGAAAAATGGATAGCCAGTATCTAATGGCTGTATACTGACTTTAATACGAGTACCCTCTCCAGTATCTGCAATTTCCTCTGGTCCTTTGATATTATTACCAGGTTTAAACCAAGAGTAGTAAGCAGTAAAAGTTTGATTGCTGCCACCATTATATGCCGATATCCAACTGAATTCGGCTGAGTTTTCTGTACATCTTACTTCTAAACCAAATGGTCTGAGAGGCCAACCTATAAGGTAAGGACATGATTTTAAAATGTCTGCTAAGCAAGTTAAACTGTGGGCTATTACTCACTAATGATACCTCAGGTATAAGGTTATTTCCCGGGTCCACTATAAGTATAAGGTTATTCCCCAAGTCCACTGTACGTATAAAGTTATTCCCAAGGTCCACAAAAGTATCGGGTTATTCCTCAGGTTCACTTTAAGTATTAAGTTATTCCCCAAGTCCACTGTAAGTATAAGGTTATTCCCAAGGTCCACAAAAGTATTGGGTTATTCCTCAGGTTCACTTTAAGTATTAGGTTATTCCCCAGGTCCACTATAAGTATTAGGTTATTCCCCAGTTCCACTTTTAGTAATAGGTTATTCCCCAGTTCCACTATAAGTATTAGGCTATTCCCAAGGACCACTTTAAATAATTATTAGGTTATTCCCCAGGTCCAATGCAAGTATTCAGTTGTTCCCCTGTACTTCCATTGATATTAGGTTCTTCCCTAGGTCTTCTATAAGTATTAGGTCATTAGGAAGTTGATAAGTGACTGATGTGAAAATGCATCACACAGTAAAGCGTGCTGATTCCTTAGAAAATGTGACAAGAATTTTATACATGGTCATTATGTATTGGAATATGCACAATGTTTTCGTTTAACGAGTTGTTGATGGAGTGATAAATGTGAAAACACATCACAGGCAAAAGCTTACTCACAAGACACTTGCTACTAAATTCCAAAAAGTTTTGATTTGTGGTTCCTGAGAAAAATGCGACAAAAGTTTCATGTGATTGAAAATCTGACACTTAAATCCCATATCTCTTGAATGACAAATCTGACACTTAAATCCCATATCTCTTGAATGACAAATCTGACACTTAAATCCCATATCTCTTGAATGACAAATCTGACATTTAAATCCCATATCTCTTGAATGACAAATCTGACACTTAAATCCCATATCTCTTGAATGACAAATCTGACACTTAAATCCCATATCTCTTGAATGACAAATCTAAAAATTTACGAAATAAAAATGGAGTTTATTTGGCTCAACTGTAATATACGGTAGAAGTAGTTCCTTACCCAATTACCTATTCATACAACAGCAAGGATATGTATGAGACCTGTTTCACAAATATTATTTTTACCTATCCCGCCATTGTGTTGCTGTGCTGTGGTCATTTTTTGTATTCTTGTCTTTCATTTTTGCTTATGTGCTTTGTCTATATGCCATTATGATTTTCTTTGTTGACATATTTATTAGTTTTTTTTATAGTGATTAAGATTATACATGATATAACACAATGTTGACTGCTGTACCCCTATTTTTGACATTTTTACCTATTATGTCTGTTTGTTTTGTTCACACATTGTTGTCAATATAATGGAATTTTATGTGACTGTCATACAAGTGAGAGGTTTATCTAGCTATAAAACCAGGTTTAATCCACCATTTTCTACAATAGGAAATGCCTGTACCAAGTCAGGAATATGACAGTTGTTTTCCATTTGTTTGATGTGTTTGAGCTTTTGATTTTGCCATTTGATAAGCATGATAAGGGACTTTCAAATTTGAATTTTCCTTGGAGTTCGATATTTTTGTTATTTTACTTTTAACCAATCCTAGCAACAGCATAAAATAAATTTCAAGTAAATTTATCCATGCATAGTTGAGTTAGCGCTGGATTTAAAAAAAAATAAAGTCCTTTAACTCTGGAACTTTGACAACAAAAATGTTAGCATCTAAAGTAAGCCTTCTTCAAACAATTCAAATGCTTCATATAAGTTTCATGATGTTTGATCGAAACATTGTTCACCTTTTGTAGGATGGGTTGTAAGATAGACAAACAGTTTGATACATCTGACAGGGGTATACAAACTAGAGGCTCTCAAGAGCCTGTGTCGCTCACCTGTATTTACTGATGCTTTGGAAATCATGTAAAATAAGGTTAAAATCATAATTAATAGTATTAGATATTAGATATTATAATGATATCTATGATAACAAAAAACTGCAAAATTTCTGTAAAATTACTAACTCAGGGGCAGCATCCCAACAACGGGTTGTCGGATTCGTCTGAAAATTTCAGGGCAGATAAATCTAAATCTGATGAACAATTTGCCACCTGTTAGATTTGCTCTAAATGCTTTAAACCAAAAACTGCATTTTACCCCTATGTTCTATTTTTAACCATGTCGGCCATGATGGTTGGAAGGCAGGGTCATCGGACAAATTTTTTCATCTAGATACCCTAATAATGATTAAAGCCAAGTATGGTTAAATTTGTCTCAGTAGTTTCAGAGAAGAAGATTTTTGTAAAAGATTACAAAAATTGTTAATAAACTGCTTCGCTGAGCGCAGCTGGATATGCCCGCAGAGGTCCAATCCTGAACAGTTGGGGCAAAAATGGACACAATATTCAAGCTTGATACAGGTCTGAATTTGGATTGTAATTAAATATTTGACATATTATAGGTTTCTGAATAAATGTAGTCAAAGAACTTGAAATTGGTTATATGAATTATATTTATATTCAATTAAAGATTTCTTGCTGTTGTGCAATACACTGTGCTGTTGCGCAATACTTAGTAAATCTGTTGTCAGACTATAATAGACAAATAAAGTTCAATTAACTCTCAATGTCATATTAGAAATTTATGAAAATGTAAAGGGAGCTTACATCAATAGATATAAACAATTCACCAAAGTTTCATGAGAATTGCTGAAAGCATTTTTGTTTTTTTGTCCAAAAACTGGAAAATCACCCTTTTTTTATGATTAAAACCCTGTAACTCCGAAACGTAAAATCTAAAATATATAAAAATCAAAAGGGAGCTCATGTCAATAGATATAAACAGTTCACCACAATTTCTTGCAAGTTGGTGAAAGCATTCTTGAGTTATTGTCCGAAAACTGGAAAATCACCCTTTTTTTAATGAATAAAACCCCATAACTCGGAAACGTAAAATCTAAAATTTATAAAAAACAAAAGGGAGCTCCCGTCAATAGATATAAACAATTCACCAAAGTTTTATGCAAATTGGTTAAAGCGTTTTTGAGTTAATGTCCGACATGTTGACGACGGACGGACAGACGGAAAACGGTATACCATAATACGTCCCGTAAACGGGCGTATAAAAATTGACTATAAAGGGCAATAACTCCTAAACGGGTCGACTGACAATTTTGGTCATGACAACTTATTTTTAGATCTTACTTTGCTGAACATTATTGCTGTTTACAGTTTATCTCTATCTATAATAATATTCAAGATAATAACCAATAAAATGCTCCGCAGGGCGCAGCTTCATACGACCGCAGAGGTCGAACCCTGAACAGTTGGGGCAAGTATGGACACAACATTCAAGCTTGATACAGCTTTGCATTTGGATTGTGATTAAATATTTGACACAGCATAGGTTTCTGACACAGAATGAATGTGGTCTAAGAACTTAAAAATTTTAAATTGGACATTCACCTATTATGGTCCAATATCCAAAATCTAAATACATGGTTAGATTCAGCATATTAAAGAACCCCAAGAATTCAATTTTTGATGAAATCCAACAAAGTTTAATTTTGGACCCTTTTGACCTCAATGTGGACAAAGTTGATAACGGGGCCCAAAAATCAAAAATCTAAATACATGGTTAGATTCAGCATATCAAAGAACCCCATATATATTCAATTTTTGTTGAAATCAAACAAAGTTTAATTTTGGACCCCGATTTGGACCAACTTGAAAACTGGGCCCATAATCAAAAATCTAAATACATGTTTAGATTCAGCATATCAAAGAACCCTAAGAATTCAATTTTTGTTAAAATCAAACTAAGTTTCATTTTGGACCCTTTGGACCTTAATGTAGACCAATTTGAAAACGGAACCCAAAAATTAAGAATCTAAATACACGGTTAGATTCGGCATATCAAAGAACCCCAATAATTCAATTTTTGATGAAATCAAACAAAGTTTAATTTTGGACCCTTTGGACCTCAATGTGGACCAATTTAAAAACGGGGCCCAAAATCCAAAAACTAAATACAAGGTTAGATTCAGCATATTAAAGAACCCCAAGAATTCAAGAATAAAACCCCATTGAAATTGGTCAAGAAATAAGCAATTTATATGAAGTATCTTCTTTTGCACAATACTGTGCAATTAAATATTTCTTGCTATTGCGCAATACTTTACAATTGACAATTTCTTGCTATTACGCAATATTGTGCTATTGGATATTTCTTGCTATTGCGCAATACTGTGCAATTGAAGATTTCTTGCTATTGCGCAATACTGTGCAATTGAAGATTTCTTGCTATTGTGCAATACTGTGCAATTGAAAATTTCTTGCTATTGCACAATACTTATAATATAATAATTTACACATCCTGTTTGGTGTGTATCTCCTACCATATCATTATTATTTGCTTTTAAATATAAATCAGAAATAACCAACTTAAAATGGAAAATTTTAAAAGAAAAAAAAAGGAAAAAAAAAAAAAATCCTCCCCCCAAATTTTTTGAACCCCCTTATGATTCATCACCCCCAAACTCAATCCCAGCCTTCCCTTTGTGGTATGGTACCTTGCAGTACAATTTCAGAGAGATCCATACACTTGGACACAAGTTATTGTCTGGAAACTAAAAAAATGCTTATTTTTGGCCCCTTTTTGGCCCCCAATTCCTAAACGTTTCGGCAATTACCCCCAAACTCAATTCCAGCTTTCCCTTTGTGATATGGAACCTTGTAGTACAATTTGAGAAAGATCCATACACTTACACACAAGTTATTGTCATGAAACTAGAAAAATGCTTGTTTTTTGCCCCTTTTTTGGCCCCTAATTCCTAAAATTTTGAGGCAATTACCCCCAAAATCAATCCCAGCCTTCCCTTTGTGGTATGGTACCTTGCAGTACAATTTCAGAGAGATCCATACACTTGAACACAAGTTATTGTCTGGAAACTAGAAAAATGCTTATTTTTGGCCCCTTTTTGGCCCCTAATTCCTAAATGTTTTGTGCAATTACCCCCAAACTCAATTCTAGCTTTCCCTTTGTGATATGGAACCTTGTAGTACAATTTCAGAAAGATCCATACACTTACACACAAGTTATTGTCATGAAACTAGAAAAATGCTTGTTTTTTGCCCCTTTTTTTGCCCCTAATTCCTAATATTTTGAGGCAATTACCCCTAAAATCAATCCCAGCATTCCCTGTGTGATATGGAACCTTGTGGTACAATGTCAGAGAGATCCATACACTAACACACAAGTTATGTCTGGAATTTACAAAAATGCTTATTTTTGGCCCCTTTTTGGCCCCTAATTCCTTTACTGTTGGTACCATAACCCCCAAAATCAATCCCAACCTTCCTTTTGTGGTATTGAACCTTGTGGTAAAATTTCATAGAGATCCATTTACTTAAACTAAAGTTAGAGTGCGAAAACCAATGTGTCTTCGGACTACGACGACGACGCCAACGTCATACCAATATACAACCACAAAATTTTTTTGTGGTCGTATAAAAATGGTTAATTCAATTTAAAGGAATAACTCCTATAAAAAATTGTTTGACAGTTTTGACTTGACAGACAATAGGAAGAGCTGAACATTCTGGACATTTTTGCTTCTGTCAGAATTTCTCTAATTATAGCAGTTTTCAAAATAATAGGCAAAACTTGCATTTCAACCCTATGTTCAATTTTTAGCCATGTTGGCCATCTTGGTTGGCAGGCCAGGTCATCAGACACATTTTATAAACTAAATACCCCAATTATGATTGTGGCCAAGTTTGCTTGACTTTGGCTCAGTATTTTTAGAGGAGAAGATTTGTGTAAAAGTTAAATTTGACCCAGTATTTTCAGAGGAGAAGATTTGTGTAAAAGTTAACAGACGACGACTGACAAAGACAGATGCAAAGTGATAAGAAAAGCTCAATCGGCCTTTCAGCCAGGTGATCTAAAAATAAAGCATATGGGGTATCCATCTATGACACAAAATCAGTAAATGCACAGCAAAAAACACACAAAAAAGCAAAGAAGTAGTGCTTTTATTGCTGTTTTTCATCTCAAAGTTACAGTGAGGTCTTTAACACAGAGCATCAAAACTCTCACTTACCTGCAAGTTTAAGATGGCCCCTAGCACCAGTTGAAGCTGAATTCTTTGCAAAAATAATTCAAATAGACTTTATAATCTAGTTTATCTGATTATTTATTGGTACTTACCTGCAGGAATAGTTGTATCCTCAAAAATGTTGAATATTATGGTGGAATCTACATTTCCGACGTAATTGTTACCAACAGCCAAATATTGACCAAAATCATAACTTCTCAAGTACTTGATCTCATATTCTGATCTGTAGTAGATGTTGTCTTGTCTACCGCCTGATGAATCTACATGTAGACTAATGTTATTTGATGTGGGTGCGTGTCTAAAAAACCATCTGACATATGGAGAAGGGATTGAAATATAAGTGGCAGTCAAATTAATTCCTTCTCCCTCTCGTAATGTAAAGTTGTAAACATTATCATGAGCTGGCCTTGCATGACCTACAATGTGGTACAGGAATCATTATCATTGTCCACTTTTGACCTATAATTTATTTAGCTAAACAAAAATAAAAGACTGTAACTTCATTCATTACTAGGTGCAGGTATAAAGTGTGGGTTATCATGTGATCTGAAGACGTCTATCTTGAGTTACTTTGTTGCTTGGTTGCTGTCTAATTGATCTTTAATTCATGATCTCTATCATTCATACTTCTTCAAATATGACACATTGTGTGTGTACTTCATGCAAACGATTATGTTTTGAAATATCACAAATTTCATTAACTTAAAAAAGAAATTGACAACATATATAGAAATATGTAACACTCAATTATCATTTTAGGTTGCACTTTGTAAATACAGCTGTTTCTAAAACCACGCCTCTTTTGGGGAGATATATAATATTCATAGATATGTTAATTTGTTAACGTACTGGTTCCCATTTATGATCTCTGTGTTTCATCTTATAGAGACATCACTTGGAAATGTAACCAGTATAGAAAAACATGGTAGCGCCTAAATTTTAATTTTTTAGGTCCAAATATGGAGGTAAGGGTAGTATAGAATTTTAGTACAAGTTTAAACTCTTAGAAGTTCAGGGCATATAAATGTTGAAAATATGCCGCACAGCCCTATATTTTGACCTTTGAATAAAATAGTAGTGCATATAAACTTTCCGTTCTGGGATATTATTTTTCACGAAACTTCATAGTAAAAGTGTCACAGTTTCAGCCGCAAAGGGAGTTCCTATGGGAAATTGCATTGTCTATATTTACAGAATTGCAACCTTATATAGAACAATAAATAAATAGAACATACAGATTTTCACAAAATCTGGTTTATCTCAGAGATTTTAAAGAATTTAACTGAAATATGAAGTTTTATAAATATTTCATGAAGATTGAGAAAATCCTGAGCCTTAACTATGATGACTCAGCATAAATTCACAGTTTACAGTATGCATGGTTTACTTAAAGCCCTGAATTCAAAATAAATTCATAATATATGCCTATATGTAATTTAAATTGTTCAGAAGTGCTTATATTTACTCTTCGCAGTCATTGCAACTCATTGATCCTTCCTAAATACTTTTGTTGGGGTGTTTTTGTCCTGTCGATAACCCAAAAGTAAGCGCAACACCTAAATGTGCTTTTTTGTGACCGCGGCATTAAAAAGTACAAGCTAGAATTACAAAAAGACCTCAATAAAACTTACAATAGTGTGTTCCATCCTAAATATATGCTAAATATTCCACATTGCTAGAAACAGGGAAAATATTTAGGAAATGTGAGGCCCCAGGGACAAAAAACAGAAAAAAATGCCTACCCCTGGGTCATAAAACAGATAATTTAACTTGTAAATGCTATGATTTTATTATTTTCAAGGTCTTTTGTAAAGAAAACAATAACTGTCCTTGGAAGTTATGCAAAAGTAAGATGTAAGCAGTCATTTCTATCAAACTTTTAGTGAATTTATGCACCAGACTGATATCTTCTTAAATACAACTTTTGCAAATATGGCTTTGTTTAGACACTTCTAGTTCATATATTAACTAACTTATGTTTGACATATGGTTAGGGATGATACTGTTGAGACAAGAATTCTTAACTGACCATTTGAGACAGAAATTATGAACTTTCATTGACAAAAAGGCATTCAGTAAGATGTGGACTGGAGACACAGGCAGGATTGGATACTTTGTATAATCTTGAAAGTTGGAATGATTAACTATTAAACAATACACTTATAGTATTACAAAATGCTTTCAATTTGTTATCAGAATAGTTTCAAACATGTTTTAGACAGTTCATGTCAGAAAACATGCACATAGGGTAAGCTGGCAATAATTAAAGTCTTGTTTTCAAATTCTTTAAAAAATTGAAACAGGGGTAGGGGTATAAATTGTACTGTAAAAGGAAACTTGAGTATATGCAGTGATTTCTTTAAGGCTATAATTCTGATAAATAAGAATGGTTGTGAGAAAAAGTGTTTTTAGAGAGTTTTCTATTTGAATAAATGTTTGTATAGGTTGCACTTTGTAAATACAGCTGTTTCTAAAACCACGCCTCTTTTGGGGAGATATATAATATTCATAGATATGTTAATTTGTTAACGTACTGGTTCCCATTTATGATCTCTGTGTTTCATCTCATAGAGACATCACTTGGAAATGTAACCAGTATAGAAAAACATGGTAGCGCCTAAATTTTAATTCTCAGGAGGTCCAAATATGGAGGTAAGGGTAGTATAGAATTTAAGTACAAGTTTAAACTCTTAGAAGTTCAGGGCATATAAATGTTGAAAATATGCCGCACAGCCCTATATTTTGATCTTTGAATAAAATAGTAGTGCATATAAACTTTCCGTTCTGGGATATTATTTTTCACGAAACTTCATAGTAAAAGTGTCACAGTTTCAGCGGCAAAGGGAGTTCCTATGGGAAATTGCATTGTCTATATTTACAGAATTGCAACCTTTACCAATTTACATTGCTGCTGATGTCTTGTCGTATGCAAACACTAATGTCCAGTATGGTCTGAGAAATAAAAGGGAATTTAAAACTCCTCAGTGTCGAACCACAGCCTATAAGAACAGTTTTATTCCACATACTCTTGATAAGTGGAGTTCACTTGATGGAGAAGTTCAAAATATTATAAGCTTTACAGGATTCAGAAGAAAACTGAATGAGGACATAAGTCCTTGTCCAGTTTTCTTTTCCACTGGTTCACGAAAAGTTAATATAATCCACTGCCAATTAAGAAATGAGGCTACTGATCTAAAACATCATCTCTTCTATGATCATTTGTCAGACGACTCTGTATGTGGCTGTGGAGACCCGATAGAAGATAATTTTCATTTAATTTATGTTTGTCCATTTTACATTTATCAGAGATATGAGCTCTTTCGAAATCTAAGGAACTTTGATAATGTCAATCTTGATATCCTACTACAGGGTTGCCCAGACTTAAATATTGATGAAAACACAGAGATATTTACTTATGTCCAACAATATATTCATGAAACTGGAAGATTTTTATAATATTTCATGTGATAATATAACTGTTTAGAAATCAGCCTATAACCACAGTGTACCACTCTTTAGTCTTAGTTAAAGACAAACCTAACCTCTAACACAAAAAAAAACAACCAATTGTGTTTAGCATCCTTTTGCAAATAAATTTATAAATATTTTATTTCATATTTTGTATTAGAAATTATATTTTCAAAAAAAAAATCAAGAAATTAATAGTCTTGTAATAAGATGGTATACTAAATTACTTATGTATTGCAAAATAAGGGCCAATAATTCTTGTTATTCATATAAATAGAACAACTTTGTTGCAGTGAGTTTGTGAATTTGAGGAAAAATATCACTTAAACAATCTATTTGATTCCTTACCAACACTTATTAATGTGGTATAAAATTCGACACCACTTTCAGTAGATCTTGCAATGACTTTGTTCACATAGTTATTATTTATATATGTATACCCAATAAAATATTTCAAGAAGTTGGGGGATTGCCTCCCCTGACTCACTGCAACAACGTATAATCTATGAATTTATCAGAAAATTATATACTATCATGTTATTCAATCCATCTTGTATGGGAAAGGATTTGTATAGGCACTGCCTTTTGTCCAATCCCTTTGTTTAAATGTACATTTGTCATGATTTGATATTTTAACAATAACATATTTTGAATTGAATTATCATCCTTTGATATACATATTAAATAATTATTTAAATTTGATAAGTATTTTCTAAGCTATTTACTTTGAAAGAGGCATCTGCATAATGCAAAAGCTGTACTTTCAGATATAAGCCGTCATCAGACATGGTCGCCTTTTTACGTAACGTTAAAATAATAAGTTCAGTAATTAGCTGTAATTAATTACAATTTTGAAAGTAATTTAATGGAACGTGTAATTGAGCATATTTTCAATTACATGTAATTGAAAGTAATGAATTACATTGACTTTTTGCCATGTAATTATGAATTACTTTTCAATTACTTCTAAATAATTGCTGGGAAATTTTAAACATTCTTGGCTTTTCTGATGCAACTTGTAAATTTTATTTTTTCCTATATTTAGTATGCACTTGGTACTTTGATTTTTTAAAATACTTTTTAAACATTTATCATGATGAAAAAAAATATAAAATTCCTTGATATTCATGATATTTCATGAATCATTATAGGATGTATAATAATCTTTTATTGTATTTAATTCATTTAATTTTTTCACATGTTTACATAAAAATCTCAAAATTTTAAAACAATACTAATTTATTTACATACAATTTGTAAATATGTTGTTCTAACAATTAACAATAATCTTAGCCTCAGGTTATTCCTTTCACTTAACTAATTAAGAAGTAAAAGTTTGTCCCTTGATTAGAATGCCACAGGCATTATTTTTAAACCATCATACGTACATGTTAAAATCTGTACAGATGGATATTATTTTAACACTTTCTTCAAAATTTTAAATACAGCAATCAAAACATAGAAGAATGGAGTGCAATATAATTGATAAAAGACAAGGCTGGAAAATGTTACATTACTTCTTCTGTAATCAGTGGAAGCTTTAAAGTTACTTCAAATTTCACATGAGGTTCATAAGAAAACCTTCAAAATCTAAATTAACATTTTTAGGAGAATCTTGAACTTCTAAGAAAATTATTTTAAGAATACAATTTTTTATATTAATCTGGATCAATTATTTCCCATAAAAATAAGAAATGCAATCAAATAAAATGTAACAATGACTTTAGAAATTTGAAAACTTTGTTTTTTATGGAAAGCCTCAGCTGTCATATATTAGAGATTTACAAAACGTTATACTGAAGCTTAAAATGTAAAGTTAGGACAGCGTGATGTTGAATTGAGTCATCAAAATGCTAACTCTAAATTACAATATGCTAAGTTGAATCTGCGCAATGTTGACTTGCAATGACAAGTGCTTTAGTCGCGATAGTATAATGATAAGTCACGA